GTTGACTGAATCGGAAGTAACTTCGCATTTCTATAACTATATAGAAATGTGGATGCTTTATTGTTATTAGTTATAGACCAGATTGTTGTATATCTCTAAATGAGCCCATCACAGTACAGCAACACTCTACTCTGCATTTTCATTGGTTACTTCTATGACTTTTATAGACATTTTGCCAATTTACAACTTTAAGACTCTGTATTTGACTTGGGACAACAAAAGCTTTGGAAATAAGATTTCTTTAAGGATTTCTCTTTCAGAGTATATTTTTCTTGTCAACTATAAATAGGTCTAAATATGAAAAAATCTGCATTAATTGATCAGCCAGACCAATGACTTTCTCAGCATTAGCATTTGGCAGGTTATATTAGTATATTGGCGAATCCATGGAATGATTATTGGCGGAAAATGTTTAGAAAAGTGTCAGGGTGCGTGGAAAAGTTAGGACCCAAATGCAGTATTAACAAAAAGCGAGCTTTAATTTACAAAAAAGCCGATGTCAAAAGAAAACAAGAGACAAACTTAGCATTACCAAAACAGGGGAGCACGAGTAAATAATCCAGGACCAAAACTTCAAGGACAAACATGGAGCGTGACATGAAGGGAAAGACAAACAATGAACCGACACCGAACAAAAAAAGAGACAAGACTAAATACAGGGAGGGGTAATCACGAGACGAGAAACAGCCGGGCAGGGGAGGAGAAACACAAGGGTTACAGGTGAACACAATCAGAAAATCAGACACACCAGGGAAACTAACGACAGGGAGGAAAACACAGGGAGAAATGAACAACAAAACAAAACCCATTACCAGACACACAAAACTAAAACCGTGACATGACATAAGAATCGTGACAAAAAGTAATTTAAAGTGGGACTAAGAGGCACCAATTATACAGATTATTTTCAGTGGCATATAAGTATTTCAGAGGAGGAGTTAAATTAATGTTCGAGGTTTAAATCAATTGGGCATTGGAGCATTATGGGAAATATAGTGTTTATGGAACATGACTGATTAATAGGGACTTAAAGCCAGAACATATTGTCCATGCTAATTCTTTGTCTCAACAGTTAATTCACTTATTGAAAGTATTCTGTTATAAAATATATAATAATATCAGCCAATATATTGCAATTGGATTTAATTAGATATTGTCTTAAAATCTTCAATATCTATGATAATCATGATGATCAAGTCAAGTCATGCATACAAGTATGCCAGTTTGTACATAGGGCTTTTTCTTTCTTCTTTAGAAAACAATTATTTCGATCAAAAGCTAGAACCTGTTCAATTGTAGCACATTCTTTAAGGAAGAAATCCACCGAAAATATTGAAATGTCCCCTCACTCAGCCACTTGCTGCTTTTTCAATCTAACTGCTAAAAAGGCCAAAAGCACTACCATCAGCCTCAGCTGTACTTTGTGTTTAGTGCTAATTTGCAAATGTTAGTATGCTTACCGCTAAACCAAGATGGTAAACATGGTAAACGTTATACCTGCTTACCATGTTAGCATTTAGCTCAAAGCACCGCTGTGGCCAGATACAGCCTCACAGAGCATGGCTATACTCTTTACATTGAACTACCTTAACGAAGAGAAACACACACGTTTCTCTTCTGTCAGTCTGTCTGTCCGTCTGTCTTTCTGTCTGACTGGCTGTTCAGAGCCGCCTGCTGTTCTTACTGGTAGATTGGCTAAAACACCTGGACTCTGAGATCTAAATGTCTTCCTTGAAGTGAAGTTTTTTAAGATTGGAATGGTAACTTGGAGGATTGTGTGTATTCCTAACTGTGCTCAGCTCCAGATGATTTACCCATTTCTCTGAGTTTCCCAAAATGTCTGGATGTTTCATGTTCCTGAACAAAGAGTACCACCTGTGATGTGCTTTTGGGAATCCCAGAGCCGTTAGTCCAGTGGATGTACCAGAGTAAAATATTACGGGATGCATTTATCAAAGGGGTTGTGTATATCCACTGGACTAGTGCACCCCCCCCCCCCCCTACACAGTTGATGTGGGTGCTACAGAGCGCCACCTCTAGGTGTCTAAGGGATATTGTGGCAACTGATAGCTTATTTGCGTAACCAATATTCCTGTTTTGTCCTGTCTCTGTCTGTCTGTCCATCTGTTTGTCCCTCCGTCCATCTGTCTGTCTGTCTTTTTCTAACTTCCTCCTTTGGTCTGAAATATTTTACTTGGTTTGGGCTGGTTTTGGTTTGAGTTCTCTCTCTTTTCTTTTCCAACTTTGTTTCATTTACAAATGCTTGTAACTGTAACAAATGGTTTCTATTTGCAATTTCCGATGTTAAATGCTGTCATAACATTTCTTTCTGTCATTAAAACACATTTCCATGCAACACCACTCATTCCTCACATTTTACATTCCATATCCTGATCTTGCTGACTGTTTCATTTTGCTAATATGAATTACCCTCCATGACTCCTCTCTAACCTTTGACCTCTGACCTGTGCTTGTCATCTTCATGTAGCCACGGGTTATGAGAAGTCGCGCAGCCTCAATAATATCTCCGGGATGACGGGCGCCCCGCTGCGCCTCACCCCCATCACCAACTCCACCTTTGAGCCCTTTGAGCCGCCTGGCCTCAGGCGATGCCGCTCCCCCATCCCCTCCATCTTGTAGCATAGCAACAGGGAAACAACAAAACAACAACAGCAACAATACAATTTATTTTTTGTCTCGGGAACATAAAGAACATTGAATAAATGTTTCATTGATATTTGATTCATCCTAGCTGCTCTCATTACCATTACTCATATGGTTTCCACTCAATAGAAGCAAACAAGTTTTAAAACCACATAGTAGCTAACCCTTATTCTGAGATGATGCTTTAGCAAATGTATTTGACAACACACACACTAACAAACCTGCCTTACTAACAGGGATAGAGTCTAGGTTAGTTTAGACGGATATGATAGTTAGTTAACCTCCAGCTTCCCCTGTTCTTGCCTGTATCTCCACTCTGCACTTCAACGCTTCAACACTGACATGTAAGAGAAGCTTTGAATAGTCACTTTTATAATATAAGGCATCAGAATGCACACAAACAAACACTCAACATATTACTTATGCTTGCATGTTTTTACTCATGTGACGATAGCTTTAAGTAGATTAACAGATTTTTGTAAAGTCAAAATCATATCTATGAAAAGGAAGAACCCCAAATGTAGATTTTCTTTATGTTACAACATCAGTTAAGCCTTTCTGCAAACTTAGTTTGTTCTCAGTTTGTTCCTTTAGTAAAGAGAGAGAAGAGACGGATTTCCATTAGATTCCACAACACCTTCATAACCGACAACAGCAGCATCCCCTCCTCTTCTCAGGCCTCAGGTCATAGAACAGTGGTTCCCAACCTGAAAAATAGCAGTTAAAAAAGGTTCATATTATATGAAATTAGGTCAAATATATTCATGAAATGTTCTGATATTTTTTTATATATATAATTACGTGCATAAAAACATTTTGTGCAATATTTTGGATTTTTTCTGCATTTCCTTTCAGGTTTGGTCAAAAACAGGCGGATAAAAGCAGATTTTAGTAAACTACAAGTATTTACTGGCTCCAAGGAATTTTGGCAAGACAAAAAAAATAAGCTTTTAGAAATAAATGTAATATATTGAATTATTAATTTATTTGTGTATTTCCAGAAAGAAGATCTGCTATGAATAAGATCTAGAGTAGCAATGCAGAATCCCTAACGTATTACCTTTAGTAGCCTAAAAAGGGTAAATAGTCATATTTGGGTATATTGATCCTACATAATACTGGAATCAGCCCATGTAATCTGTCTATTTATCCACCAATGGCGAAGCTTCAATAGGTTCATGTATTGCCATAATATCCCAGAGTAAACAAAGAAGCCTCTACCTTAGCAAATTGAGAATGAGAATGTATCTTTGTTTTACCAGCTGAACAGTTTGGGAATCACTGTCAAATGGAAATATGAGACACTCAACACTAAAGAGCTGAGGCACGAAACATTTTTCATAAAATAGATAGACAAAAGCAGCTATAGACACATTCAAAACACTGTACATAACCTTTGATCTTTATCCTCTCAAAGACTTAGGGAGGACGAGGACAGGACAGTAGGGTCTGGTTTCACCACAGCACCTCACCCTCATCACTCGCCATCCTCTCACCCGGTTCTCGGCAAAAGGCTGAGCTGCAAAGTTGGAAGATGGGATGATCATTCGTCTTACATTTTTTGTAATTTCAATATGTTATCAATCAAGATTTGTAAAGGCAGAACAAAGAGATGTGCTTTCTTTCAAAGATTGAGACGAGAAGATCCACACCACTCTCCTGTCTGTGCGTTAAGTACTTAGCTGGAGTCCGGATGCACTTAGCCTAGCTTAGCATACATGGTACACGAACAGGAAGGTAAAGACGAAGGACTACTTATGTTAACCGTGGTTTTAACACAGAACAACAACCCTTCATGGTCTTGTTGTCATGTACAAGTTGTCAGGTTTGCTACCATCATGTGCGCACAAACCCTATTAGCAACCTGGATGGATGGTCGTGTGTCATGAGTCCTTTTCTACTTTTTAGCTTGTGTATCGAGTAAAGAAATAACTTGTAGAAATTGTTAAAGGTTCTTCTAAACCTTGCCATGCTAGCTGTTCCCATATGCTTCTTGCGTCTTCGTGCTAAGCTAAAAATAAACACGTCCTGACTCCAGCTATGTACTGAACATTCTCAGAAAGAAGGCAAATTTGCCAAAATTGTTCAACAATTATTATAAGGTGGTCGGGTAGTAGGCTTTCTCTTTATCTGGAAAAGCTTTGGACCTTGCAGCTCAGCCTAACTGTCAGAATCGTGGTTTTCTACAGTTCATCATCACACCACCTCCACCAACAGCGTTACTACTTGCACTGACTCCAGTGCGACTCAGCAGCCAATGGCAATGTTTTTTAGTTTTTGGCTTCTCTTTCTTTCCCTGTTTTTGCTCCCCCCCCCCGCCCTCCCTCCTCTTCTGTCCGTCCACTTCCTCTTTGTTTCGGGTGCGGCTGCTCAATAGGAGGCACTGTGAACGGCTACTGGAGTGACAGCCCATGGTAGAAGAAGAGAGGAGGACTCACACCGCAAGGGAAGAAGAGAGCGGACATGACAACAGAGACAGCATACGAACATAGAAATATGCAATGTAGATACATGAGACATCGGTGGTTGGATGTGTGTTTCTGTTCAGTTCTATCTTCTGCACACATGAGTGTGCACATGGATTTTTGTGTGTGGATGTGTGTGTGTGTGCCCAGACCTGCATCTACCTCTGTACTAAGATGCACAAACTAGAAAAAACAATGTTTTCCTTACTTTTTGATTCTGCAAGATAGAAGGGAAGACACAATTATTTCAGTTTAGCATTTATTTTAAAGAAACGTGTGTGATTACATGATGATGTCATCTTTCTGTCTGTTAGTGTACTTTTGTTTTTCTTAATCTAAGGGGTTTTTCCCCTAGTTTATTTTCTGATTATTTTAAATAGAAATGTTCTGATGTTACAGAATTAGTTTTGTTCGTTTTCATTTTCAAAACATGTCTTGTTCATTGTTTTAGACCCTAATTATGTGTCTGTTGGTTAAGTTTCATATCTGTTTGAATCCCTTCTCCTCATTTCTTGCTCTCGCCTTCCTTCCCTCCCTCCAGAAAATAACTTTCAGCTAACAGGAAGTCATTCCCTTAGGTTTGTATTAAATTCCCCAAAGAGAAAAACTATCACTTACCACCGAGTGAACATAGACTCTGCCGAAGCAGGTTCAAGGTGCAGAGCGACGTAATCCCTGTTCTTTTAAGAAGGATTCTGTTTTAAGATGAATGTTTCTTCGTCCCATTCCCTTTTTGTGTTGAGTGTCGGGAGGTGAGAGCACCATTGTGTCTGAGGAGCATATAATTGTTTTTTCTATTCAACATTTTGGGAAAGAAAACTTTCTTTGCACTACGTTAGGAGCTATAGCGAAAAGTCATTATCCCAGCTAAGATTCCAAACTCAAACAGGGGGAAATAGCGCAAAATAAGCCCCCCCGTTCCTCCTCTGACTCTGGGAAAGAAAGTGTTTTTCCCAAAATGTCAAGCTACTCCTTTATCCTGATTTTTGGTCATGCAGGATCTAGCTAAATCCTGTTTCATGTGTGAATGCTTGATTTAGAAGTTTGTCTCCACTGGGAGTTCAGGATAAAAATTCCCAGTTGGAGACTCATTTTAAACCCCCCATCCTAGTTGACATTCCACCAGGCTCAAATACAAACACACACACACGTCACACACACATATAGATGGAAACACAAACCCCAGTCCCTCTACTGAACCTGTCTATCGTTTCTCAACACGTCATCCTCTCCTCATCATCCTCTTCCTTCCCAACTTCCACTTGTTGTGAGTGCATCTGTCACTTTCCCTGAGGCCACTCCTGATTGGTCTCTTTTGTCATGATGATGTACATATGTAAAGTCTGCGTTGTATATGAATCTGCATGGGTTTCCATTGCAAGCAATAAGGATACTGACATGAGTAATAATGTGAGGAGGTTTGATAAGATTTTAGTCTCAAGCTTAATGAATGTGTATATAATATTTAGACTAATAAGAGTGTGTATGAATGTGTGTGTTAAGATGCATATATATGCACTAACAAAGCATGCAGGAAAAAAAAAGTTCACCTCTTTGAATGCAGAAGAGGTGGGGCGGGCTGACATTATGCATGACAAATTGCTATGATGCTAATGGTCGGATGCGACCAAGTTAGGTACTGTAACAAGGTTGGGTGGGGGTGGGAAAGTTTATTTTTGCAGGACAGGGAGGGGTTACGTTTGTAGTAGGTCTTGTATATCTGCTTTCTTATCGAACTTGAGAGACTTATGATAAGAGGAACATATTAACAATCGTAGCTTATGATTTCTTTTTTATTTATTTGCTTCTCTTTTCACAGAGAACTGTTCTGAAAGCTGTGCGCTTATCAGATATATGCAAAAAAAAGCAGTAACTGTGAACTAGTGCTAAGACATGAAAAAAATCCACAACAAATCCAGCTTCTTCCATCATTGTCTCAACCCCTCTCCTGCAAGAGAGAGGAGAGACCTCCCAAGATACCTCCTCACCCAATTGTCCCTTCCATCGTCTCGTGTCACGTTTCATTTCTTTCTGTCCCGTTCAATTCTACACTTGCATTTAAACTACAGTGAGATCAAAAGAAGGACACCTCTGCAATGTGAGAATGCATTGATAACTCCCAAAAGGGATGAGGACCAGGGCCAGATGAACAATGTCAGGGTGCCTCGGCCCAGCCCTTACTACCCCATTTGCTATGTTAGGTAATTAAAAATGAATGGCATTCAAATGTTTTTAAGTACATTTAAGTACATTTGCAATTCTGGCTTCTCTTGTAGACCAGAAATGCTTCCAGCAAAGCTGAATTTATGAATATTATTATTAAAAAGTGGCTTGTTTTTCAGTCCGGTATCATGACAGCCAGAGTTATCGGTAGGTCTTGGCTGCTTGACAGAAGATTTGGTCCCCAGCTAGGGTTAGGGTTAGGTTTTCCCCTTAAGTCCCTTAAGACCGTCTCCCCTAAGACTAGCCACTATTCATGTGGAGCTAATGCTCAAAATGTACACCCAGTGCCAAAGGAAGTAGCATCAACTTTCTGTAGCAAGGTGGGAATTATGGGTCTGGAGGTTGGACATGTAGCATCAGACTTTCAGGCAGAACCCAAGAGCCCGTTTATGTTCCCAAGCATTGACTCGCCTAGTGAGAAACCACACTGCAGGGGCACCCTTCAAAATCCATACATGTCTTTTTTCTTTCTTCCACCCATTGTTGCCAATGTTTCTCTCTGTTTCATTCATTCACAACTCAGGTATCTCTTTCTCTCTCTCCCTCCATCCCCCTGTGTTCCTTTTCACCCATGTTTCCTCAAAGGTGTACTGTATGTCTGAAAAAGGGATAAGAAGTGTTCCTCTTGTTTCTGTTTCTGTGAACACCATGTGCTCTTGTTTTGTGGCTCTTCCTTGCCTCTTTTAAAAATGTTGTTTTGCTTTCCTTTTCCAACTGTGTTTCCTGTCTTCTCCTTGTGGCGTCCTTCGTCTTTCCAGCCTCTCAATAACCATGTCCCCCTTCCTGTGAGACTTTATCCCCCCAACCTACCATAGATCCCCCCACTGTTAGTCTTTCACAGCAAAAACCAAAAAGGAATTAAATTAATTGGAGCACCTTCGCACCTAAAAATAAAATGGTTTGGTGAAACACTGGACGTCACCAAGGAGGAAGCCAGGAACCAACATTTAAATGAATGAAAAAGACTGAGGGGGTGTACTGTAGGTTGGGAGGAGGGGAAAACTGTGCAATGAAATGATGTGTTCTGAGTGGATTGTCAGCCAAGCAGCATCAGAGGGAGGAGATGGAGGAGGAAAGTTTGGGGAAGACAGAAAAGTGTGGTGATGATGAGGAAGCAAAAGAGAAGCAAAATCTCTTCCCCATGTAAGAATGTGTTCCTCGCTGCTGTCCTGTTCTGCTCCCTGTGCTGTGTTTCCTCACCTGTGTGTGGTTCTGTGTTGGTGTGACATTTTGTTTTATGTTATGTGTGTGTTCGTGTCGTGTGCCGCACTCGATTTCCCTTACCTTTTTTCTTTCATGTACTTCGTGTTTACCACACCTGGGTCAAAGAGCATTTACAAACACCAGCTGCTGATTGTTTTATCCCACACAGGTGCAGGAGAAGTGTAGTTTGTCATTTGGGAAAACTGCACCAGAGTAAAATGAATCAAATGTACTGACCTGATGCAGCATAACCTGCCAGTCTGAAGGTTTAAGTGGGATGAAACAAAAAGCTAGAAATCATTATTTGGCCAAGGTCTGGTCTGTACATGTGCAGGACACACCAACTGAGATGTTCCTCTCTCAGCTCTTGATCTCGGCCCTGTCCTGGTTGGCTGCAGTCCTCTGGTTTGAACTTTGACATCCCTTGATTTCACTGTGATCTTGATGACTCACGGTCTCATCAGCTTCCAAAGACTGGTTATATCAGAGGACTGAGCAGCCCTCCGAGGACTTTTGCAGATTGTTTCCGTGTGTGTGGGTTACAGAGACGGAGAGTAACCATTACGTGTGTCACTTTCTAGCTCTGTGTTCTCGGTGTACTTGCATGTTGGCTAGGCTGGAGCGTTGTGGTGGTGTCTTTCCTTTGCTTCAGTGGTGTGTTTGGCCTATTATTTCTTTGTCTTGGTGTATTATATTGTTTTCATTAGCAAAAACTTCACTGAGCACCCCTGGAAACCAGAGTTTAGGTTGGTCTGCCATTGTAGAAGTCTTTTAAGTTCTAAATTCTTGCTCCAACCTGGGAGGATTTGGTTTGGAAAGCTGTCCGGCAAATTAAAGATTTCTACAATGGCTAACACTTTAGATCTCTAACGTGAAAGTAATATCCACGGCCTCTTTCCCAACGGCACCTTTAGGATTGGTTGATTAAACTCAAGTGTAGTTTTTAAGTGGAAAGACAAAATAATAGCAACCCAAAATATTCCCGATCTCAATTTAACATTACATTTTCTGAAGCTTACTACCACATCTTATTTTCTTGATATGCAGATAAAGTTTGCCAGAAACACAGATTTTTCTGCAATGGGCCAAAAAACAAAAATAGCTATGAAGCACTGTTTATAACCCAACAAAAAGCTTCAGAAGAGATACAAACATTTAATCCCCAAATGTAAGATGTCTACCAACAAATGTTGATGCTTTTGGGAAACAGGCCAAATTCTAATGTGGACCCACATTCAACCACAAAAAGATTTCCACTGGAAACAACTGGATTATACAGAAACTGTTTTTTTTCTGTGATGGTGGAATAATTAATGGAGGTAAAATAATTATGAATTTGGCTAATTTTGTCTACTGGAATCTCCTGATGGATGGATGTTATAAAACCTAAATGTAACGTGCCAACATGGAGAAGTCTGAGTAGGGTTGCACCAGCTATTCATAATGTAATGTTTTCCTTGATCTGGTTGCAACTTTAAAGCTTACGAATGGTGTAAAGAATATTTATATGTAAATAAGCTTTTTCGAAACATCTTTAGCGCTGTCTTATCGATAGCAATGTAAACAGGAAGTCATAGTAGAATCATAAGCTAGCAAAGTTGAAGCTGAACTAGTTTTTTTCCCACATGTAGGTATCTCTCTTTCTCTCTTTACATGGATTCATGTAGTTAAGATATTGTAGTATCTATTTTGTTACATTTTAACGTGTCCACACTTCACTTTAAAAGGGCATACATGAGCATGCTAATGTTAGCTTTGTCAGTTGTTTGAGTTAGCAAGTTGGTGTAAATAACAATAACTAATCTAAAAACATGTTCATGAGGTGCAACCAGTTCTTATTCAGTTTTGCATTAAATGCTTCCTATTTATCATGTTGCATTAGAAATAAGCTATGTTTGATTTGCTAATAACTGGTGCAACCTTTTGTATCTTGCAGATACCAATTTAATGAAATCAAAGAAATCATTACTTTACCCACCAGCATTATTCCACTGTCTTACAGTATGTATGAAATGGGCTTCAATGTTGATCTGCACCAGACCTGGATGATTACAATGCTGAAATCAAGTGATTTGAATAAGCCTCATGTGAAATACCAAAAATCTTGTTTGGAACATGTTTAGCCTTCAATTATATTCCGTGGTCTGGTGTATGATGATCAAGAGTCATGAATCATTTCTTTGAAATCCTCACTAAATGATCTTCTCTCTTTTCTTTTCAGTGCTGAGTTTCTAAACCCCTTTCACTACAAGAAGAGGAAAACAATAAACTTTGAAACCGCTGCTCCTCCATCTTCCCTAAACGGAGTCACTGTAGAAAAAGGGAAGGAGATAGAGAAAAAGAGAAGGAAAAAAAGATGCGTGATAGAAATCATCACTGACACTCTGACCAGAACATTTTCATCTGCGTTACACATTCATATGCAACCTCGTTGACCATCCCAATGAAGAAAATGGTCACAATCGTATAAAAGCTGTTCAAATTGGACCTCTTTTGAACAGAGCAAACCGCAGCACGGAGCGTGGCGTCCAGAGGGCCCATGAGAGACTTGGATTCGGAACAAAGATGCCCTCTGTTTTAGTTGTGATTTGCTTTACTCTTTTTATTTCAAGAAGCTTCATTCAGCTGTTGATATCCAGTGGATTTTCCATTATTTCGGCACTCAAAGCACTATGCAAAGTCAGGGGTGGTCCATCGTGATGTCTAACGACTCAGGCAGAGTCTGAGCTACAGGACCTCTAACAGCAGGCGAAAATGTACTCATACATATCAGAAAACATCAGCCATATCACATGTACATTTGACATGATCCTGTATTTGATATTATCTGAATCTTCCGGGTGACATGTTGGGTTTAATACTGAGATCTCAGCAAATGTCAAAGAGCCAGTATTCACCTTGTGATGGAAGCGACCCAAAGACAAACCAATTGGCGGTGAACACAAGCCCTCGAAGACAGGAAACTGGCCTTTACATCAGCTTAAGAAAAATTGAAAATGTGATTGACCCTCTTTCTCTCTCTCTCGTTCCCTTCGAGTGTTTACAGTGTCTTGAATGCCCCCCCTGCATCTCAGCGTCGCTGCTCCTCTTTAGCAAAATGCATGGCATGAATGAAACAAATTTAAACCCGAAGAAGGACAGTCAGCGACACAATGGATGGATTAAAAAAAATGGGGGGAGAGAGAACAGAAGGAGGCCATGAGAGAGAACATATATTTATTTTTTTCCACACAGCAATGTCAATGCAACGTCATCGTCACCCAAGCTACTCTTTAACCCCCTAAACTGGCTGCTAATACGTGCATCTCCTGCAGCAAAGTGCTCTCTCAGAAGGCATGACGGATGAGGAGGAGCTCCCTTCCCCTCTGAGGGAAAGAGGGTGTGGGGAAGGAGATTCTGCAGACCATACACTCTATACCTCTGGGGATGTGGGGTGAGAAGATAGAGGTTTTTCAGAAAAAAAAAGCAGGTATTCTGCAGCAGCGGGAAAACATCTTTGAGAAACTATAGGGACAAAAAATGGCAACAATTGCAAATTAGAAATGCATTTTTATGACATTGTTTACCAGCATGAATATTCTGCATGACTTCTGCAAGCCATTCTGATCTCCCCCATGAATAACAGGGCTAGAAATTGAATTTAAACATGAACACTTATCAGAAAATTATGTCATATGAAACAAATAAAAAAAATGTAGGATTATGTTTAATGATTATGTTCTTTTTAATTATAAAAAAAAAATAATCAAGAAAAAAAAAGGTTGCAACATCCAACCTGTTTTGTTATCTCTAAGAAATCTTAGAAGCCCCCCCTCCCCCCACCCTACCACTCTAAAATCCAAGAAGACTCCTCCCAACTTCTGCAAGTATTTATTCTGCTACTACAAGTTCGTCTACTACTACTTCAACTTCTCACCTGACTGCTACTCTGCTTCTTCTTCCTCCTCCTCCTCTTCTTCTTCTCTTTCTTCTTCCTCTTGTAGCCTTTGACCAGAACCCTTATACGTATCTCTCTCCAATGGCAGCTGTGTGTGTTTGTGTCACAATGTGGACCCAAAACTATCAAACTGATGTTGAACTGAACTGTGCTGTCCACTCAGAGATGTCATTGATTCTGTGTGTCTGAATTGAAAATGTATATTTTCCCAATCTTTGGAATTCTCACCCCCCCCAAATGTCCTCTGTAGTCTGGGTCAAGCATAAGTCAGGTACAGGTAGACATTGCTACCTACACAATGATACAGGCAATGTACAAGATGGCTGTCTCTTCACCCAGGGTTGTTTTTGTACTTCATGTCTGAGGGGGATATAGGTTATTTTCCCAACAGAGCAATAGCTTCTTGTCATTTCCTTTGAGAGTCCTTTAAGTGTTATCAGTATTGGTGTTGGTCAATCAATTCCTGTTGCATGGGATTAGAGTTAGCATTAGGAAAATAATTATGTTCGGGTTAACTTTCTAAAGGTAGCACTGTAGTTTGATCTACACTGAGCTGTTTCCAGACAAATCCCCAGAAAAATCTGACCAAAAACAAGAAAAGGCAATATGTGGTTCAGAAGATTTTAGGGATTAATGGAACGACTCACCTCAATTCAAAAAGAGACAAACTAAAGGATGTCCATTCATGTTTGCCCCAGTAGCTTTTTAATGATGTAGCGTTATAAAATCTGCCCTTTGACTCCGTCAGAGAATGACACAATTCCATAAGGAATTAACTTGTGTATTATGGGAGAGTGATGATTCAATAACCTTATCCTTGAATTAGCTGGAATGTAGCTGAAATATTGCTCAGTTAAATCTCCAATATTGTTTCCAAAAAGTTTTCATATCGTGTATGGCCATTGGAAAATAATCACTTCTTTCTTTCTTTTCAATGTAGCCTTATTTAAAGAGTATTTAATGAATGAACTTGATAATACCAACATTTGTGATGAGCTCAATTGGCACCGCGTCAAACAAGCTTTCAAATCAAGGCAACTTACTCCCTGCAGTGATAGTCATATTGATGCTGTCCTTTATGGAAAGCCTCTCATAAAAGCCCCTCACCCTCACCCTCATCCTAAATCTGATCCTTTCATCTTTAAACTCAAGGTATGCCCCAGCAGTCTCCAAGCAAAAAAATGTTTCCATAACAAATTGTCTCAGAGCATAGTCCTAATTGCTGACATTGTTCAGTAGCTTAACTAACACATTGTTCCCAGCTAAAGCATGTTGTAGCGTACGCCTGTAAACGGGGGGAGTGGTAGTTGTTTCCCTAGGGAGAGGCGGCAGCCATCTTAGATCAATGGGTTGAAACAGGGTTGGGCAAGTACCCCTTTCACATGAAAAAGTTTAAGCTACAATGTTGTGCTGGGCTGATAAAAAACCACGGATATATTTAGATTTATAAAAAGAGGTAAATGAACAGAAAGGTAAAAATAGTTCTAATTGTGGCAGAAGCACTTCTGAAAGATAACAGGTACTAGAAAAAAACATGTATCACAAAAAAGCTGTGGAATGTGCTGGTACTTCTTCTTATTTGTCTTTTATTTATTACATGTCTTTACCATGCATCTCATGTGAGGGTTAATTTTCATTTTTGATGCTCTTTCATTTATTTCAATTGCTCTGTATTAATTGGTGTTTGATTATATTAGGACATGTGGCCCCCCATGACTGATACCAAGAAGGTGACTAATACCTGTTCCTTGGTAGAAAGCAACTGATACCATTCTATTTTTAGAAAGTAAATGATGACTACAAACAGACACAAAACCACCACAACGACTCAGACTTTTAGAAGACTCAGAAAAGACTACAAAGGCATGCAAAACGACCTTTAAGAAATGCAAAACTACTACAAACAGAAACAAAATCACTACAAAGACACTCACAGAGACTAGTGTTACATTAGCTATCCATTAGTGTAGGTTTGTGGCTGACATACAGTTGGGCTATCACACATATTAAAGCAAACATATTCCCATTTCTGGCTTGCAAACTATTTAAAATAAATCTCTGCTAACAAAGAACAAAAAAAAATACCATTTACGAAAAAAAGAACCAGCTAGTGCAGGCAAACCTGCACTATCCTGTTGTCACAGCTCACCAGCCAGAGAAAATCATAGCTGTACTTCACGCTTTCAATAAGGGCTATCAAGCTAAAAAAAAAAAAGTATACCCTTTGGATGTCTGTATTGGACCCTCACAAATTGTGGTCATATTGACCGTCTATATGACATGTCTATATGACATGTCTATATGATGGAATTTAATACCAATATTATTTGGATTTACATAATTTCTTGACCTGGCAATCTCTACAGGATGTGCCTGATCTGCTACTCAGTTTCAATAGGATAGATATTGGTTCAAATGAGCAGTCTCTCATTTTGAATATTGTATTTCCTTTTTTGTGCAGCAGAAAAGGTCATGCAGGCCTCATGAATTGCAGATTTGGAGAGTCCTTGGGACTAACATCTCCTAGGAGTCGGCAACGGTTCCAAATGTTCCAAATTATGGATTCAGCCAAGATGTGATTGCTCACTGGAAAGACCAAATGGTTTAAGCTCAGCTAGTTTTCTTCATATTTCAAAGTCAAACTGCAGCCTATCCAGTATCTGATAGTTATTGAGTCTAAGGTCATGCATGTCATCTAAACTATTTTGAACATGAATAAGCATTTTAAACTTCAACTGATAACTTCAAGGGTCATGACACCTTATCTTAATTTTTGTATGCATTCTTTTATCCATTGTGGGGACCAAAAAGGTCACTCTTTGGTATTGATCTTCAGTTATACACACAATTGTCTGTATCATTCTGGTGGAATCTTACAAATAACAGGGTGCCAAAAATCTAATAGAAAACAGGGCCTATCTCAGGAATACACTGTATACAAAATAAATAATCTGAGAGGTGGAATATTGAGATTGTATGATCCTGCAGTATGTATTTTCAGGAAAGTTTCAAATATATGAATAGTTCTGCGTGAACATGATGCTCATATCAATGGCTGCTGACTTCACTACTTGAAGCCTGGAAGTAGATTTTTCTATCCTTTTGGTCAAAATTATATCCTAATGTCCTTCCACACAGCACTAGAAATCATTGCTTCCAGGGTGTTCTTCTTTTATATGTGGCACTGTATGTGAAAATAATTGGTTCTGATATCACTTGTCTTCCTAAAGGTGAAAAGTACAGCTTTAGAAATGTAAAAAAAAAAGAATAGCTTACTAAGAACTGTACTGTAGCTATACCAACTTCTCTCAGTATCACTGATTTTGACAGGATCATATTGCTACGAGCATTTTTTTTATTTGTTAAAACTGTTGTTTTTGGTTTACATATCATATATTTTGTATTTTGTAACACATGCAATTATAATGAATTATGATCATGAAGATGATGACAATGGATTGACAAATGCTTTTGTATTTAAGCATGCAGTGAACATAAAGATAGCCAATGCACGCACCAGTTGGGCTAAAGGCTTCATGTCATTGGTCTGTTGGAGAACATGTGTCTCTGGTGGGGATGGGGGGGATGAGGGG